ATATATGAAAAATGATCCTGTGAACCAGTGGGCTGACAAGAAAAAATGAGTCCAACGGCTCAGATTGAATCTAGGCCGATCATGGATGTCGGGAAGTGTTTGAATTTTAAATTTTTTTCTACAAATCTAAATCATTTGAAATTTTAGATGTATTTTCTTCTCATTAAGCAGCACCAAATAAAAATATATAAATAATAATAATAAGTAAAACAATTGATCAAAATACCCCCAAACCTTTACGGGGGTATTTAGGTCAATATATTTCATGTAAAATATTTTTTTGATATTTTTGAAAGATTCAAATATTTGTGATGAACACACACCTAAAATTTCAAGTGATTTAGATTTGTAGAAAAACAATTAAAATTTAAACACTATCAAGCATCCGTGATCGTCAGATCAACCTAGGTTCAATCTAGGCCGTTGGGCTCATTTTTTCTTGTAAGCCCATTGGCTCACAGGATCATCATAGTTAGCCCATCTCAGTCTCAACGGTAGTCTCAAGCTGCCTAGAGATGGCTTGACTTATCTCAGTCTTAACTGCAGTCTCAACCTGCCTAGAGATGGCTTAACCCATCTGAGTCTAAACGGCAGTCTCAAGCTGCCCAGAGATGGCTTAACCTATCTCAGTCTCAACGACAGTCTTAAAGCCAAGAGATGGCTTAACCCATCTCAGTCTCAACGGCCGTCTCAAGCTGCCTAGAGATGGCTTAACCCATCTCAATCTCAATGGCAGTCTCAAGTTGGCCAGGCTTAACCCATCTTAGTCTCAATGGCAGTTTCAAGCTACCTAAAGATGACTCAAACCATCTCAGTCTCAACAGAAGTCTCAAGCTGCCCAAAGATGGTTTAACCCATCTTAGTCTCAACAACACTATCGAGAGGGCCAGCAATGGCTTAACCCATCTCAGTCTCAACAGTTGTCTTAAGCTACCTGCAATGGCTTAACCCATCTCTGTTTCAACAATAGTCTAGAGTTGCCTGACGATGGCTTAACCCATCGTCAGCATCATCGTCCAACAATTAAAGCCTTTAAAGCTTTATGGATCATATGACATTTAGTTACTGCAAAAGGGGAATTGTTTCTTCGAAACAAGAAATTCTCTCATAAAATCAGCACCATTGAACGTTGGCTCCTTGCCTTATCACCTTTAAAAGGTGTAACGTGGATTGAGTTGAAAAATGGGAGGGGATGTAGCTCACTGACAATGTTTACAAATCCCTAATTTTTCTCTAGCGAGATCATGAGGTTAAAAAGTTTGAAATTCAAAGACAAGTGCCAACGATTGTATCTACGTGAACAACCTAGCAGTGAGATCAACAACGTGAAAAGATAAACACAAGAGGTAAACAACATTACGAAGATAGGATTATGCCCTGCAAACTCTGTAATTTAAATGGATTGATAAGTCCAAGATGAAAATGGAGGGTGAATATTCAAAGATGAGAATTGCATGGTTATCCTTTGAAAAATGATAATTTAGCAGTATAAAAAGGGACTTATCGATTGAAGTGAGGTCGTACATTTTTGATGGACACAGTTCAATAGAGATAAGTATTCTTGAGAGGTTCTGCCTCAGTAAAAACTAAGAGTGGGAAAGAGAGTGATATTCAAGACACAAAGAGAGAGATAATTATTTCCTAAGACTCATTGGAGACCCCTTCTCTTAGGAAGACCAGACTCGAAGGACAACATCCCCTGCATACATGTACATGTATATGGGCCGATATGCCCTCACTGTTATCTTTTCCCTTTAACAATGTTTACAATGCAAATCAGAGAGATCTTCAGAGGAAGATCCCTTAGACTCGTACCAGAAATTGATTATTTAAAATAGTGACAGAGAGTGGGACAATCAAATTCTGATCTGAGGATAGATCTACTCATAAGTAAGCCGATCTGCTCTCAGATCAGTGACAAAGCCAATATTGATCCGAAATACAAAATACAACATAAAATGCAATAAAATTGAATTAATTTCAATAAAAATAAATAAATATAAAATAGAAATACAGAAAGAGTAAAAAAATACCAGATCGGGCCAGTTGGCCTGGTACACCTGAGGCTTCGAGGCCTCGGGACCGACTGAGTTTATATCATGCGTCGTCTTTATCTCTCTTCAGGTTTTTACTAGGTCTTAACTTAGTTGAATGGCTTTCTAAACCTAAGGGTTGCAGGTTTAAAGCTTAGGTTTTCCTAAATCTAGGGTTTGCTCATAGGTTTTTGTTGTATGTCATTTTTGACATACCTAAATCCCTGGTGCAAATAAGGAGAAGGCCAGTGATGACCTAGTCCTGCTAGTACCCAAGACACCACCAGGCCAAGAGAACATTGCATAATAAGCCTAACGCTAAGCAGCCTGGGAAAAAGTACTATAATGTCTAAAAGAGACCTTAGAACTACAGCCCTGTTCTATAAGATTCAAAGCAATACCATACCACTGCCATCGCATCCTAAACATCGAAAAACCCCCAAGGACCAAATTTGGGCTTAATCGGACCCCCTAAAAACATTTTGGGCCCAAATTACCTCAAATGGGTAGGTTATACACTATTACGGTGTGGCCTCACTGAACCAGTCCCCAATCATGAAGGTTTCGTTTTTCACATCTCGGGATGACCTACAAACACCCACACATCGCTCATTTGGAGTCGAGACAAGCTAAAATTTGGAAACAAGCTAAGTCTCGACGACCCGATCATTTTGACATATGGCAGCGTCAAGATGTGACCCATAATCAAAGCTTTTCTAGAGAGAAGATGAGCCCTAAACCATAGAAATAAGAGCCGTTTGAAGAAAATACATCTCGAACTTTGTAAAGCAATAACTCGAGATCAGTATATCGGATCATCGTAAAAATAGGTCCGACGAAACCATATCATGAAGGGCTACAAGTTGGTATAACTTTTACACTCAATCCAAGGTCGGATAATCACA